ATATTGACTTATTATCAAGTTTTTATAAAACCATGTAGACTGCACAACGTCACAGTGTGTTTTAGGGAAGGCAAGGTCAAATAAATGTGTGTTGCATTTGGATTGGGAAGTAGGGAGATTTGTGATTATCTTTAGTTTGTAGGAGAGTTCATTCCAAAGTCTCCGAACAGTCAGGGTGAAGGATCTGTCTCTCACACAGATGAGGTTTACTCTTACTGTGTTAAACATAAACTACTTACTAACTTAAAAAAAAAAAAAAGGGGGGGGGACATTTTTCTTTTGCACAGTAAAGTTTCGAAGCTGTATTAAGTCAGTGTTCAATTGTAAATTTTTGGAAGAACAGCTGTAACGTTTTGTTCAGAGTTATGGAAAACCTCCATTCCCAAGGTGTTCATAACTCTGAGATTCTTTTGTATCTTGAGCCCAGGCCATGGAACGCTTTCAAGATAAGGACCAATATCTTGAACTTGATTCAGAATTCTATCTGGAGCCAGTTGAGAGTAGGATGTGTTCATAGTAGCCTGTGTTTTTGAGGAGACTGTGCTGCAGCGTTTTATAGTAGTTGGAGGTTCCGAAGTGCTGAAGGTTTCATGCCCAGGTATACCGCATTGCTGTCATCCAGCCAAAAGATGATGAAGGCTTGAATAACTGAGGCCAGCTCTTCTTCTGCCATGATGAGATGGAGTCTCGTAGCCAACTGGAGATGATAGAAACACTGCAACATTTGTGAGTAATGCTAAGAGCTCAGGATCAGTGAGAAATCCAATAGTACTCCTAGACTATAGACTGAAATGACCATTTGTGGATGTGAACCTTCAACCAAGGAGACTGTACTGTGCCTGCAAATTCCTCTAAATACTTCCCTCCTCCCTCTAGCATCACCTCTATTTTGCTCAAGTTCAACTTCAGCTAGCTATACTTCATCCATGACCTGGTCTCACCCAAACATTGGGCCATCATGTTGGTAGTGGTGTGATGAAGGATAGGCATAGCTGTGTGCCATCTGCGTATTTCTGGCACTCGAGTCTGTGTTGAGTGACTAGTAGTTGTATGTAAATATTGAAAAGGACCAGAAAGAGAACTGATCCTTGTGGAAGCCCACAAGTGAGGGGCCTATTGGTGCAGGTGCATGGCATCATTACTTGTTGGGAGTGTCCTTTCAGGAAGGACTCAAATCATTTTAACACATTACCCTAGTCTCCTGCCACCTCTCTCAGGTGAGATCTCCAGCAGTATCTCATAGTCAGCAGTGTCAAACTTTACAAAAGCATCCTTAAATTATACACACACATAATCTAAAACACTTCCTAATATAAATGCTGTTCAGACGATACATTCTTTTGGTCAAGGTCCATGTCATTACTGGTTTCTATGCGGAATCTAGTATACTTGAAAATATAAAATAATAATTGGACTTACAGGTGTGGAATTTTAAGCCTTTTCCCCTGAAAATCTCTATGCTTTGGAATCATATTGATAGTTTCCTCTGATCTGGTCTTTTTCCATTATCAAAAAGATTTCCTGAAAATAAGCATTTGAACATTTTCATCTGTAATTTCACATCACTTATAGATGTAACTTACTGCTACCTGGTGATTTGTCCACGTATTCAAATACTTACTTTCCACTACTTTTATGTCAATCTCTCCTAATTTATCCTCACTAGTATCTGTGGATGCAGTCACATTCTCATTATCAAATACAGATGCAAAGAAACTGTTTAGTTTTTCTGCCATTTCTTTTCCAGTAAAAATAATTACATTGCCACCTTGTGGTTCTTTTATTTTTCAGTCCTCTGATATTTTAAAGAATATTTTACATTATTATCCTTAACTATCGTTTAGCTTATACTTTTTTGTTCTTTCTTAATTTAAACCCCTTTTATTTTATAAAACTTAATACTGACTTGCTCTGATTTCTAGAAATCCTTCTTTATTTGTAATGCACTTTAACAATTTTAAACCAAAATGTATATACTTTGTGTAGATTTAATTAAAGTAAGCACACTGAGACATCTCCACAATATCTAAACTTGAACCCCGTATCTACAATACCACTTTCTACAAACCCTACCAATCAGGTTTGCTTAGTACCATCCTTAATTTTATCATCTTGAGTCTCTTTTCCTCCTGTGTAACTGCTCTGCTGTGCTATTGCATTGCAGTCTAGAGACCCCTTTGGTAGTTAGATATAGCAGCGTTAGCCTCCATTTGACATGTCCTCCTTTTTATTGCTTTGTCACCATCTTAAAATTACTTTAATATAGTTATTTGTGTTACTTTGCTTTAACACTATGTTTTAAAGAAGGGGAGGAAATCCCCAACATAATTAAGGATCGCACAATAAAGAATAAACTAGTGGATCTCAACCTCTTCAATACCATGACTCCACATTAAAACAGGAAAAAGTTTCAGGACCCAGTTTCCTTCTACCCATAACAAAAGGGACACTCCCTCAACCCCTTAAGAATTGGGACCTCCAGGCTGACAACCCGTGGAGTCAACTGTTGTATAAATCCGCTTTTTATACTGCTTGGTACTGATAGTGGATTTGTAAGCTATAAATATGCGACTCTCTCACTCCTGTATTTTCAGCTGATCTGAAGTTAGTATGTTCTTGATTAAAACATTTTTTTTAAGTCATCTGAAAATGGAGAATATCGTCTCTGGACTATGTTATTCTGAGAGCACATGCTGGATCTCAGGAGTGTAAGACTCACTTCTTCAGGGACAGCATTTTAGGGACTTTTGAGGGCAGCTTATCTGACATAAGACTTTGTTATGAAAGGCTAATGGGGAAGGGAGGGGGGCAGGTGAAGAACATCTAGGGAACCTTAGGGGATTTCACAATATGGGTGGGGCCCATGATAACACTTCATATGGTCAGGGAGGTGTTGAACAACTTTTTGTGTTTCCCTTAGTTCAAGCTGACATGAGAAGTTGGAAACACCCAACCATCAGATGCCAGGGAAACAGGGTAAGCTTGGCAGTGGGCTCGAGGGGAGGGATAGGGCACAAACCAAATTGTCTATTAAATAGCGAAGACTCTCCAGGGCACTGCTGTGTTAAGCCTGGTTACAGGCTTTTATTTTCTGTCCTGTTCTACCAGTTCTTAGTGCTGCGACTAAGAGAGAAACTCACGTTCCAAGGAATCCGTCCTGAAACTAGATATGCTAGCACAAGAGCCCCTTCGAAATCAGTCCCAGGTTCGCACTATGTGTAGGATTGGGACTTGAATCTATCTTGGATTTTTTTTTTTATTGACAGAGATCCACCTTCAGGAAAGGGGGATACAGTGTGTGGATTTCAGTGAATTCTGAGCTTTGTTGGAGATACTGGTTTTGGGGCAGAAAGGGCTGTCCTTTAGGAATCCTCAGCTTTCTTCATGGTATATTACTTAATAAAATCATTTTTTAAATGTATGGTCTTTTTACTGTTTGCTCTCTTGCAAGAGTTGTTTTAATACTAAAGATTTAAAGTACAAAATAAGTATTTCAGAAAGGATTCTGTCATGAGCCTGTGACAGTTATTTATAAATAAGTTGGTTTTCATCATGTATGTTCATTTTCGTCTAATTATTGATAGTCCTATTTTCAGCACTGACAGTAGTGAGCAGAGCAGTGTCCCAAGTGTTTAATTATTGTCTGACAAGCAATTATTGAGGGTAGTCAAGACTGAAATATTGAGGGACTCTGGTAAAACTTAACAAAGCTAGGCGACTGGCCAGCATTATGGCGGGTGAAATCCAGTGTAGACAAATGCATGTTGGAAGGAACAATTTGAACTTTTCAAACACTGATTATTAAAGGGACACCAATTTATACATCTGTCTGAATTGTTTTTACCTACTGTTACAAGAAACACCTATGATTACTATAAATGAAAGATTTAAGGCTAGGATTTGAAAGACTTCAGTATTTTAGCGGAGGACCCAGAATTACATGCATGTGAGGAGGGACATGATAAAATAGGGTTCCACTCTTTAGAAGTGCTTCTCAGAAGTATAAGACTCAGTTTGTCACACCCAGTCTGGAGCCTGATGTTCCCTTTGGGTTTCACCACTCCATAACCATATTGATTGTGGGTCTTTAACAGTTAATCTGAAATGCAAACTAAACTAGGCTAATATGGCAGTCATCTTTTGTGGCTCTCAAACTCTTAACAATGAAATTGTTAATTGTATTTCACAGCACAATCTAGGTCCTGCTATATGTATACTAAAGAAAGAAAATGTGCTGTTTTGTTGCCCCTCTGTATCTTAAACTATGGAATGTGGCATATATTCTTGTTAAAGAGTAGTTTGTAGTGTTGTAGCTGTGTTGGTCCTAGAATATGAGATGCACAAGATGTGGATGAGGTAATATCTTTTATTGGACCAGCTTCTGTTGGTGAAAGAGACGAGCTTTTGACAAGCTTCTTCTGTGTAGCTTGAAAGTTTGTCTCTTTCACCGACAGAGGTTGGTTCAATAAAACCTATTACCTGCTAAAAAGTAGGTCCTGGTGAGCTAGGTTGACTCATTAAGTTTACGTAGAGGTTGAGAAAAATGTGTATTGTTGATAAACCTGGCAAATCTAATCCAAATTGATTTACAGAAACTTGTTAGAATTACATAGCTTCTCAAATTTTGGGCGCTTTCAGAACATACAACAGAAAAATGCTTTTTAGGCATTATATTTGAGCTTGTATTTAACCTGTGGTGGAAGCATGTGGATAAGTCTTTTCTCCTCAATTAAGAGAAGTGCAAGTGTGTCTAGTTCTGTTGGAGACTGGCAACAGCTGCAGTAAGAAGGGAGGATAGGAATGGTTTGTATGTTAAGTCTCAGGCCAAGGCTTTGTCATCTATGCTAGATTATGATAGCAGTGGGATATATCCAAGGGTTAGGAATTGATCTTTGTAAGCCTTGGTTAAGTACACTAGTACACTAGTACATCAGGGTAGAATAACATGCAACTAGGTTTAGTCATATCCTAGAACTGGAAAAAACAAAAATGGTGTAAATTGGAATCTTCTGATTTGTGGTACAGTGTTCAGTTCCTGAAACAGGAATATCCTGCTTAGGTATGGAGGCTAGGGTATCCTGGTGATAGGTGTCCTCGTAATGCCTAAATAAAAAGCAACACTACATTTGTCACTATTGTAAAAAGGGGGAGATCAGATCTTCTGACTTTGGACTCCATTCCACTTAGGGGTTCATCTACACCCTTGTTTTTTTTGGATTGTGAAGAGTAACTTATCTAGGAATGTGTACAGAGCATGATTCCATAGAAAAATCCAACTGTCAAATCTGCATTTTGGTCTTTTATAAAAAGACTGATTTTTATAAATGGCTGACTGTCAGGAAAGTTCTTAGCAACTGAGCACAAGAACTGGCTATTTAATACTAAATGCAAGTCAGTTGGGCAACAAAGTAAACAAGCCTGAAAGGTTTGCCCTAGGTCTGTTAACTACACATTTTGAATAATCAAAGGGGGATGTTCAGTGTTTGATTACAGCTGGCTGAAGCAATTAAACATTTAGGCTGGTGTTTTCCAAGGAGCCAAAGGAAGTTGGATGGTTAACTCCTTTAGGCCCCTTTGAAGAACCCAGGCTTAATATCTGATCACAATGATTTTTAAAAGTTTAGTACTTTATCATTTTAAGGGAACCTTTACTTGTAAGTTCTTCTGATAAAGCAGTTATAAGATAGTTGAGTTGCTGAGAACAGACAGTACCCATATGTCAAGAGAGGAGGATCAAAAAATGTAAAGGCCATGAAAATCCAGCTTTAACATATTTGTGTTTAATATATAATATATAAAATGTCTATTTATAGAAACCACTTAAGTCTTCGGGCTGTAATATTTCCAGTGTCAGGAGGTTGCTCTCCAGCTAGCTGATTGCTGCCACTATCAGTAGACTTAAAAGTATGTTGTAACTAAAATGTTATATTCAAATTTGTTTTATAATTTATTCATGGAGATAAATGATTTTTACAATTCTAAATGTTCATGTCACTGGAATGACCAAAATGGATGAAATTTCCTTTTAAACAAGCTGTGAAGATTTCAAGCATTAAAGCAAGGAGAGAGAGAGGCATTCCTTAGTGAATGTGACTTACATTGGTGTTTGCTTCTCAATTTAAAAAAAAAAAATCAAATTTCATTCTGGCAAAGAGCACTTGTTGGTTCAAAACAGAGGTTCAGCTGTTTAATAGAGGGCAGCAGGTTACCTAGAATAAATTAGGTTACCAATGGGTGTGGTCAATTCTTGCTTTCAGGTACTTGCTCAGCTCCCATTACCTTCAGCAGGAGATTAGCATGTGTATCTAAAGTCAGATTTTAGCTCTGAAATGGGATGTTGCCATAATGTTAAATGTATTGTGTATGATTGTAAAGAAACTTTAAACATTTTAGACAGTAGTTTTCAGAGATGTATTAGGTGGTGTGTGTGTGTGTGTGTGTGTGTGTGTGTGTGTATATGTATGTATGTATATATATATATATATATATATATATATATATATATATAATAAGTAAGTAGTAGTAGTTAGTAGTATAATAAT